GAGAAAACCAAGGCCAAGGTTCCAGATGTACAGGGGTACCTGGTGAAATGTGACATATGACATAACAGTAGGAACAGCTGGTCGCCTTTAACACACCAGTTAAGACGAGATTTCAGTTATTGCCAACTGTTGGCCCCTATTTCCTTCCCTCTGCCTGATTAATCTGATATGGGATTTTAACTTCTTCCTCCATGTGCAGATACTAAAAAACTGTTCAGGCTTTAGCTTAATTTTTGACTTTATTCATATAATGCACAAAACTTTGTTTATTTATTAATTTACCATGGTACTATTTGTAATTTAAAAACTTAGTCTTGGAAATAGGAGAATCTTAACACAATCATGAGCCTTTTTCCTGACAATAGGCGGAATGAACAACTGAAACAGATGGTGTGACCCAAACTGCTCAAAGTCATCAGCCAGGAGCCAGGAGACAGCCAGAGAGAGATCAATGGGGGACTTTCACACCCAAAGAATCTTTGAACAGAGGTGATACTTGAGCAAATTTCATCCCCTAATGAAGACCATTGAATGCAGTTGAAAGCTTCAGAAAAATCTTTTAGGTGGACCTGTTTTTAAGATTATGTTTTGATTTTAGTTTAAATGGAACGGCAGGGAGGAAGAGGGTGGATGGGTGAAATCCTTCAAAACATTTCCATGCAGCATGAAGATCAAGATGATGGGAACCACAAAAAAATGATTATAAAAAGATAAATCGGAGAAAGAGAAGGACATGAGCAGAGCCGAAGTGGAAGATGCAGCAGAAGATAAAAAAAAAAAAGAAAAGAAATAAAGATACAGAGAGACAGATTATAGACAGAGTCAGATAAAAAAAAGGAAAGTTTCAGGTTCTGAAACACTGATGAGAGCTGATACCAGCTGAGACCTCGCCACTGTGGGTGCTTGTGCTACACACACACACATATGTTCACAGTGACAGAAAGGGGAGTGCAGGTCAGTGTCGGGGCCTCCTTGTCACTGGGCAGTTTAGAATTGACACCTGATTCCTGAATGATGTCTCTCTCTCTCTCTCTCTCTCTCTCTCTCTCTCTCTCTCTCTCTCTCTCTCTCTCTCTCTGCATGTGTGTGTATTCATAATTGGGTGAGCATGTGTGTGTGTCAGGTTGTCAGAGATTGTGTGTGTGTGTGTGTGTGTGTGTGTGTGTGTGTGTGTGTGTGTGTTAGAGATAGGAGCTGTCATGGAGCTGTCTTGTATGTTCTGATCCCCACTAACCCTCAGTCAAACAACATGCCACTGTAATAGCAGCACATGTGCAGCCGCATCCATCACATTCTCTTTGATTCTGTTATTCCCACAGGTTTGAGCTCATAGCTAACTCCAATATCAGACTTTTTTATTATTTTAAAAAAAGAAATCTTTTTTTGTGTTTCTTTGTACGCCATTCATTTTGCAAGGGTATGCTTTACAAAGCATTTTAAATATACAGTGCATTGTGTTGAATCCTTCCATTGTGTTGAAGTCTTTTTAGGGTGTCTGCATAAAAGCTCATTGTTTTCAATATTTAAGGACCTTTGGAATTTCTAGTCCATTGGATTATGGGTATTTCCCAATAGTAATAAAAAACAAAAGCCTGTTTTTGAGCTGTTGATTTGGGGTTGAAACATCCTCCCCTTGTTCGGAAATGTTACCACCAACAGTGATTTTGTTTTTATGTGTGTTCCTTTCCATACTGCCGGGAAACAGAGCCACAACCCCTGACATCCCACCTCACTTTAGTTTCAAATGCGGTATGCAGCAGAGGTGGGACAGGCTGTGAGGGGGTTGCTCAAGTACTCTTTAAATGTGTACACACTCAGTTGTGTGTCAACATGAGGTGGGTGGAAATAGACATACAACATTCTATCACTCTAAAGACTGAAGAGTTACATCAACATCTGTCACAAGGTTAAAAAAAAAAAAAAAGAAAAAGAAAAAAAACAAGTCAAAGTCATCCAGCATTTCAGTCAGTTTAGGTTGTGGTGAAAGCATCTTACTATGACACTCTGACACTTTACTCATATTACGTGACATGACATTACATGACACATTATAACAAGAAAATCATATTAAACAATTAAATCATAACAAGTAAATCATATTAAACAATAATCATATTTAAAATCTCTTGTCATAACAATGTATCACTTGCTGTTGCAGCAATAAATGTCGTGTAACGTCGAAAACAATCATGATATAACAAGATGAATTGATGTGGAGAAAACACCAGTACTAATTCTTATACTGTAGATTAAGCTGTAGCAATTGTGAAGACTTCCCTTGTAATCCAAAGCACCTTGCATTGAATTTGAATATTCTACTTAATCTAACAGTGCATCTAACAGCTCTGCAATCTGGACTAGAAAGTTTTGTGATTAACTGCCCAACATGTATTTAAAAAGGCGGAGACAGGGGAGAGTTTACGTAGCGACAGGTTGTGGTAACGTGTGGTGTATGTTTAAGTATTCGTACATAGCCTTCTGTCTCAACACGGTGTATGCTAAAAGGCTAATGCGGATCTCCCACTACCGTTATGTGTTGCTTTGACAGTGATCTCTCGATGCAGTGTACTCTATAAACAGGTAACACATCCCTAGACAGCAGATGCTCCGTGTTTCTTAGACGTTTCACATTTTGAAAGAAGAGATTCTTGTGTCTTGGTGCTTATTCAGCAAATAGAAAGCACAAGTCAGCTCCCGCTTATCAAATTGCTTGTCATATTCACAAAAGAGAGCTGGGAGACTGCTGTAGGACAGAATGATATGCAGGGAGCCGGCTTCCTCTTTAAAGTCACTGGAGAGAGAGATGGCTGGCCTTGAAATAAACCACCAGGATGCTGAATGATGGAGGAATTATTAGTCATTAATGTGAGCTACTGACGAGAAGTGTCTTGAACATTTCAAGTGATTTATCTCCCAATTACCTAAACAGATATGTTTAAACCAACACAGTCACTGAAGTTTTTATTTTTCTCCTTTCAGACTGAGACATTTTTCAACATTAACCTTATCCACTGAAACTGCCTTTTAACCTTTGTGATGTTGGAGCTGAGTGCTATGTCGGTTTTATAAACTCAAATGAAATTGCATTAAACTGCTGGCAATTTGGCACTGTGGCTAATGAAGGTTGGAAAGGACTGGAGGGTCTTTTCCTCATCAGTACACCCATATTTGCAGCCCCGTGACATCACAGGCTGTGGATGTCAGTGCTTTGTACATGTGTGTGTATTGAAAAGTGGTCCCAGACTTTTTGACCCCACTGTATGCACGTTGAGTATGTGTGTGTTTGTGTGTGTGGTGTGTGTTGTGCTGTCTGTGTCGCTGTGAGTGTGCTGTGTGTGTGTGTTGTGTGTGTGTGTGTGGGGGGTGTGCTGTGGGTGGTTCAGATATTACTGATGTTGTGGGGACCTAAATCATACAGCCACATTATGGGGACTTCTCTTCCTTATGGGGACAAAAAGCAAGACCTATAATGTAAATCAATACATTTTAAGGCAAAGACATGTTTTAAATTTAGGGTAAGGTTAGGTTTCGGTTAGGCAAGTAGTATATATGTTACAGTTAGAGTAAGGAAATGACTCTAAGTCAGTGTAGTGTCCTCTGTAGTCATGGAGACACCGCTGCGTGTGTGTGTGTGTGTGTGTGTGTGTGTGTGTGTGTGTGTGTGTGTGTGTGTGTCTGTGTGAAGGCTTAAGCACAGCCAGTATGCTTCTCTATTTTTCTGTGTCATGCACCCTGCTAGCATACATCCCCTTCCTCAAAGCTGCATGTTTTCAGACCTGTTATGTAGCATCTGTGTGTATCTGTATGTTCTTCGTGGGCGTGTGTGTATGTGTGTGTCTTTCTGTCTGTCTTGTTTTTGTTTAAGATACGTATCTGTGTATGTACAGTAAAGTGACAATTTGTTGGATTTAATAAAGAAGCAGTTGACCACTTCCCCTGTCAAACTAAACCAGCAGGTACACAAAAGCTATTAACGTGTCTCAAGTTCAGTTAGTTTTGCCACAGTGCTTGAAGAACTGGTTCGACATTTTGGAAAAGGCAAAGTGAGAGTTCATTTTTCTCAACAAAATCAACACTCATGTCACTATGCTAAATATAAGGCTACATCCAAACAGTAGCTTAGTTGAGCTTTTTAAGATTGAAAACACCTAGTTTGGTTTTGTCTTAAGTTAACAAAATCCACCTACCAGCACCTCCAAAGATCCCTTATTGAACAAGGCTTTAACATGAATCCCCTTTCTGTTTTATTCTGTAGCTCTCGTTGGCAAAGTGAGAAAAGAAATAAAAAACATTAATCCTCTGAAAATTTAAATAGGAGGCCCTTCTCCAGTATCTGCTTCTCTCATTTCTGTCTTTCTCTTTCATTAAAATTTCCTGATGTGGGCTACGCTGCCCAGCAGCGCTCCTGCAATCAGGTTTATCACTGAATGTGCACATTTGTGTGCGTGTGTGTTTAGACCCACATACGGTTAACACACTCTGAAAGTACAACGGGGGGAGTTTGTCACATGCTTCTTTTGAGTGCTCTGCTCTTAAAAATGCTGCTTCTTTTACAGCGTCTGCCTTTTTCTCTGCTACAATGATCATTTACAACTGTTAACATAATGTCTCTGTTATGTATAATTAATGCTACAGTATGCACTATTTCAAAGAGGTTTATGTCTTTTGATCCTAAGAGGTTTATCCTCAGTTAAGTCTTCATTTTCAACAGAGAACTAATATTTTTTTCATCTGTTTTTTTTAAAGTCCCTCTTTTCTTGCCCCGTAACTTTCTTAAATGAACTCATATACAGTAAATCCCTACTGTAAACATATGAAGTGGACATTGTGGTAATGTTTACCCTGTCTCCTTGTCAGTGTGAAGATTTTTCCCAAAAAAAAGGGGCTATAGAGACATTGATTATTGAAATACTTTCTTATCTTTTGAGAGCATCTTTTGAAAGCTGTGTGTGTTCTTGATCACCCTGTTTTCCTCCATCTTCTCCTTCTTGGTCCCATAGGTCCCCTTACAAAGAAACACACTGATGATTTAGGTGATAGTGACCGCACGGACGACGAAGGTATTTTTTCCCCTGATGCCAAACTGATTTGCATGACAAGGGAAACCAAACTTACCCTTTCTCCTCCAATTTTTATCTTCTTTGATTTTCTTACATTTCTTGTCCTTTTTTTGAAAGTGATGGACATTTTCTTTTTGCTCTTTACTCGTAAACTCTCTTTTTTGGCTGGATGTGTTTTGTCCTTTTCAGCTTGATGTCTATAAAGTTTACATGTCTCCCACATTCTTTGATATTAATACTGTAATATAGATTCTCTGCTTGGATTTGTTTCCTTTACATTTTCTTTCCTTTTCTATGTTGCATCCCACCAGCAGATCAAGTAACTATTAACCCTTCAGCCAGCTCTTAACACATTTTTGCATGTTTTTCTTTTAACTCGTCTCGTTTATAAAATTAGATCATGTACAAAAGATCAACCACTGGCTAACTGGCTTGCACCTATACTAACACTCAGTCCTGTTCATGTTTTGGGCGTCAAACCAGTAACCTTTACACAGTTTGTGATGAGTTTAAAACAACATAAAAATACTGGATAAATTCAATCTAAGCAACCATGGGTTGCTGCAGAGACATGTGGGTTGTTGTGTTTCCTGGCACGCGGCTAAATTACTACACACCAGCAAGTGAACATAACTTTCTGGTCAACCACTCGCAGTGGCTGTTGGCTTCTGAACCTAAGTCCTAAGCTGCCAAATTAGTTGTTTCATAGCTACATGAAATGTGGATTGGCGAGCAAACCTGACAGACTTGGCAATAATAAATGAACCAGCATTTGGGTGGAGCTGATTTCAAGTGGCATCACTGTCATTATAGTTTTAAGTGATCATCTGGGCTCTCCATTTTAATGCTTTTTGGAGAACACACAATCAAAACATCGCATAAATACTGAGTTTCTATTATTTTTTAATTGTGATGTCCCCACTCGTGTGGCTTTTCTCAATGCCGTGATTTTCACATTCTGATGGACTGCTTACACAGCAGATTGTAATTTAAATTTTACAAGCATCTCTGAGAGTCAGAGCTGCCCCCGAGGCAGAAATAATCTCGGTGGTTGAGTTAAACCTCCAGAGAGCTAGAGTTTATGTGAATAACTTACTGAAGTCAAGAGGTAACAGAAGATGGATCTGACGTTATCAGATCTGATCATGCTAGTAGCAGGTAGCATAGATGATCTCGTACATTTTTAAAGTGGACTTAGAAGCCCAACCTGGTGAGATTTGTCATCAGGAAATGAACTCCACACTAACACGGACGCCTACACTGCCTCAGTGTATTACCACTGCGCAGAACAGTGTAAACCACATTCAGTATGCAAGACATGTTAGTTACATATACGCGTGGCCTGAATCAGTCAAACTAAATGTTAGGAGTTAAATGACATGAAAACACTGATGCGCACTCTTCTGCACACATGAATGTAAACACTTGAAACTGACGGAAGAAAAATACACAAATGTTTTCAACATATTCTTTTTGCTTTTAAGGTATTTAATCAGAGATGAGTTTTGGGCGTATGCTAATAAGAATGCATCCTAAAGGGATCCAGTGGATACCAGACAGAAACTATAGGACTGAAACTTTGCAGTTTCCCCTCTTGATATAAATTAAGTGCTGCGACAGTGTGCTGGAAGTACATTAATCTCAATAATACAAAGAGACGGACCTTTCCTCAGTTGCCATAAACAAGCAGCCCTTTGAAAACTCATATTAGGAATAAAATGTCCTTGATAAAACCCTGAGATAGAGTCATAGCCCCTTAAGGCTGCTACAGTGCAACTTTAATGACAGGCAGAAAGTCTTAATAAGGCACCTCTACTGTATAATGTGACGAAGTAAACAGCAATTACATCCAAATAAGACTCACAACCATCCAGATCCCTTTGATGTGTGCCATCATGCTGTTTTTCTATTTTTTTTTTTTCTGAGAGCTCTCATTACACACACACACACACACACACACACACACACACACACACACACACACACACACACACACACACACACACACACACACACCAATAAGATTAGAGGGAGTCACACAGCTCACACAGATCTATTCATTGAAATCCCAGAAAGCTTCAAGTATTATCTCGATAAAGGATGCAGGGCAGACAACTAATCCAGTTTAATATAGAGGAAAATATGCTTGAGAACCCCCCCCACACACACACACACACACACACACACATACACACATACTCACACACAGTCTGTTGCCCTACGCGGGCCGACTCTCATCAGCTCGGACCCCACCCCCTCACACCCCCCGCCCCCCCCACCCCAGTGGATTTTGATGCTCTTGCCTCTTGACCTCTTGTCGCCTTGTGGATGCAAACTCAATGATGACATTCCCGAACCTCCCCACCACTCCCACCCAGCAAACCTTGGATTTTACAATCTCTTTATACTCAGTAAAGCTGGTGTTTGTAATCCTTTTGTGCTGGGAATAGAGATGTAAACAGGAAAGTCCCTGAGAGCTGAGGATTTGTTAGAAGCTCCACTTTTTTTTTTCTGTTTTTTTTTTCTTTTTTTTTTTTACAACGAATATTGCTGGAGTGGTTAAGTGTGTACACAGAAGTGGAGATGCTGTGAATTGTGGTATCTTATGGGACCCTGGTACCCTATATAAAGTATTATACAGCAATACCGGGGAGATATTAATCTTCCTATACACTATGGATATATTACTTTGAGGGTACAAGGATATAGATTTTGCTGACAGCAAGGGGGCAATCCTGGAACTGAGGGAAGGATCATAAAAGATCAACTGGGGATTGTGCTACCTTGTTCCATTAGGCTCACCCAGAGGCTCCAGCTGCTGACATTTCCCTCGCAACTTCAACTCTGATGCAGCATGATATCACATACAGTAAAAGTGAAACCTCCCTTACCACGACTACTTGCTACCGGACAAACGGAAATGTAGCAATTAATATTTGATTGAAACCCATAACAACATGAAAGGATTGAGCTGACCTGTAATCACACAATAAAAGTAAAATGCAAAAACTCAATCAACCAACTTGAAACCAGAAAACAAAGAGTTCACTACAGAGTAGCTCACTGCTTCAGCTGGCATGGTCTCTTGTAGATTCAACCATCCACTCTGACCTACAACCTAAAGCATTTTGCAGTGGTACAATAATGAGTTCCTTACTCATGCCACATTCGGATCACAGGGAATGGATAGTAGATGTGGGAACACAATCAAAAACAAACAGAACATAGTTTAAGCATCTGGGGCGGAGTGCACCAGCTGGGCGTAAAAAAAGTAGGTCTGAACTCTGATGGCGGTCTTAGCTACGCCCCACTTTGTGATTCGAATTTACAGTAAGTGCACCAAACCTGACTGACCTCGGCCGTAGCTTTGCCTGGTCTTTACGATGCGCGTTCACGTGAATACACGCAAAGCGGTGATTGTTGCTAAGCAACACACTAAACTCTAACTTCTACCTGCAAACAAGCTGGAAATTCAGAGCGCAATCAGCACCTGCAGGGCGGGGGAGAGAGTGTCCGTCTTTCTGTCCAATGCTGTAGTTGAGGGGAGAAGCTTCTCAATTCGCTCAAACAAAGCTCGTCTGCCGAAGCGAAAGTGAAACCTCTCAGTCAGCTCATGAATAGACGTCCAGTGGGTTTCTCTGATCATGGATGACCATTTCTTGTCTTAATGCCTTTTCGTTATTTATTCTATGAACAAGACGTGCTGCCATCATTGTTCTGCCCCTTGGTTGTGTGATTGATATTTTTTGCTGTTATTATTACCATGGACACGACTAGTCTGACTATCCAACCTACAGCTGCTCCATACTTAAGTCTAAGTGGTGCACTAGTCATAACTTTGAGTTGGTCGTAGCTTACAGTTCTAAGTCGGATGTAACGTTACGCCCAGGCGTACGCCCAGCTCGTACACTCCGCTTGACCAACCTTTTCAAACACACATATGCAGTCAGTTGGCAGTGTATTTTTAGGTAGACCTAGGTAAAACTAATGCTGTCTAATGCAACAGTCCTGCAAGACACCCTTTTTCATGAAGGTTAAGTTTTTTTGTGAAAAGAGGTGTTGATTCAAGTGTTTGATAGCATTGGAGAATGTACTTTGTGGTGCCGCTGAGCTGTATTGCATTAGGTGTTTTTGTTATTTAGCCTACACTCATTACTATAAATGGGGTGGACCAAGTAATAGAAACGCCTGCCCATAGAATGCTGTACAATTCAACAGCACCAGAAACTGCAAACTGTCTCCAAAGTGACGATACAGTCGAATCAACACCTCTCTGAAACTGCTTCAACCTAAACATGAACATTACAACCTTCACGTGTGTGTTAGTTCAGCCAAAATTTCAGGTCCTGAAAATATCAGCTCCCATTTGCAAATGCAAGCAAAATTTATTTTATTTGCATATGGCAGAAGTTAATGTTATTACGCATCTGCTTAAACATAATCTTACACAAGCCAGTGGCAATGCACATGAATGAGTTAGATCAGCACAGGTGTGTTGATTATACAGGAGTAGTTTGTCTGTAAGTGTTTGAGTCGGTGTTCACCACTGGGCTACATTTTGCTTCCTGTTGCTTTTGCCGAGAGTCCCCATGGCTTTGCTCCCTACAGCAAAAGGCTGAAGCCAGGATGAAAAAAAAAAAAAACACCTCTGCTCCCTTTGGCTGCTGTTGGTTTGATAAGTCCTCTACACCGGCAGAGGGAGAGGATACCAAAGTTGTTGAAACAGCCCAGGGGCATCTCTCAGGGTTTGCTCACAGAAATCTAAAGCACCTGAATCTCTTTGATCATAACCTCATCCTCAGCGAAGCAATGATCTACTCCATGTTGGCAAGGTACCTATCCTCTGACAAACTCTCCCTCACCCGCACTTAAACCTAGGAAGATTGAATGGTCGAATCACACTACAAGATTCTATCTCATTTTAGCTTGTCTCAAAGCAAGCTTTCATCTTGCTCCAAACACCTTTATTTAAAATGTATTCATTTAAAATCACTTAAAACAGAGGAGCAAAGGGGCATATTGACATTACAAATAATCATGTAAATGTTCGATGTTCCAGAAATCACCTTGAATACAGCATTACCTCACCGCACATAAGAGTATGATGGGAAGAGATGAAATCTGCAATCAGCTGAATGAGGATTAATTGATAAGTTAGGGGAATGAAGGGAGAGGCTGGGGTTTAGAGGGTTTTTTTGGCTCTGAGTTGTGCAGTGGCAGCCAATGAAGGATGCCAGGAAACCATACTGAGAGGAAGCTGGATTGCATAAACTTAAAACCTCAACTGTGTGTGTGTGTATACGCTGGGACTTGTTTCTGCCAGTAAATCCAGGTAAATTCAGGTAAATCCATCAAATGCTCAACCAATGCCAAGACAATTTTATCCTAATCTTACCTCATTACCACTGACCGTCAGAGACAGCTATAATCGCCGTGCTGATGTATCTCCATGCGAACTAATTAATATGTTCATGTCATACTAGTTGAGCACACATATGCACACACGCACAGGAAACGGTGTTGCATCACACAGCTCCTACACAGAGTATAACGATATGAAAAAAATCACCCATATTCTGTTCGCTCTAAAGAGAAAAAGCAACATTTCTATATGAAGACCTGGTTAGATCCTAGGTGCATTTGCATAATCAGCAAGTCATATTCTCAATCATACAAGTCCTCCTCACCCTCATCATCATCCTTTATCTTCATCATCATTACCATGGTTCTTTTTTTTTTTAATCGTATTTAACTCACTGGATGTCATCATAATCACCAAAACCATCTTTACTTTTGTAGCTGTTACTATCATTAGAATCAAGTTCATCACCACCGTTGGCCATCTTTAAGGCTGACATCATCATTACCATTGTGATTGCCATGAGCATGTTCCATCAACATTATCAACATCGATATCAAAGTCGCGGTGATACCATCACCATCATCAGCATCATTATTACTGTCGTGTTGTGGACAATATCAACATCATGCCCACCACCATCGTGGCACCTGCACCGTCATCACTGCCATCATATCGTCATCATCAACGTGTCATGGGCTGTCGTTGTTGTCTGCGACATCATTATCAAAGTCATGGGTTGTCATCACCATCATCATCATAATCAATAGCACCATCATCAGCATCATTATTACTGTCATGGTTTTTGTCATTGGCAACAGTATCTTCACCACCATAATGCCCTGGGCAACATAATCAATATGATCATCACTAACGCCATAGTTGCCATCATCATAATAGCTTCCACCATCATAATGATCGTCATCATGGTTGTCTGCTTTCGTCATTTTCCATATTGTCATCACAATAGTGGGATAATTTTCATTATCATCATCATCATCATCATCATCATCATCATCATCATCATCATCATCATCCTCGTGGCTGACGCCATAATTAACATCAACAGTATCTTCTTTGTCATAGTATTCACCATTATCATAATCATTATGACTTTTGCCATTGCCATCAAAATCGTGGTTGCCGCCATCATTGTCAGCATTGCCACCGTTGATTATTATTATTACATAGTAATATGTGAATTTATTACTAACATCACTATCGTAAATATCATCATTGTTGTGGTGGATAGCGTCACCGTTATTGTCATCCTTTTCAACACCATCATCGAGGCTGTCAGTTATCATCACCACCACCACTGCCACTGTCATGTCATGGCTGCCATCATCACCATCACATCAACATTACCACCATCCTTATCAGAATCATAATAACCATCACCATTACTGGTATTACTAGTACCTTTTCTTTCTTTTTTTTAAAATCTTTTTCTCCTTTTGTCTTCCCACCCCTCCCTTTGTCACGGTACACACATAATCTAACTGTACTGCAAGGCAAAAGACACACACACACACACACACACACTCTAGCCATAATCCCCTGACCTTTTTTGTCAGGAGTTTCTGGAATCCTTCCAGAGGAGAGTTATGATGTGCTGCTACACTGTGGCCACTGCTGCGACAGAGGGAGCAGAACAACTATGAAAAAAAAAAAAAAAAACACTACAAAGGACAGAGAATGATAGAAGTGATGTAATGAGCTCTGCAGTGATAGAAACAGAGGGAGGGACAAACATAGTAAACACACACAAGGAGAAAGCATTTCACCTAGATGTGCCTCAGTTTTATTTCCTGCTAGATATTTTGTTTTCTTTTACCCCATTTCCTTTTGCTAATTGAGTTTTTTTTTTTTTCTTTCTAAGGCTGTGTCTATTTTACATTCGTTGGTGGGAAGAGAACAATTTCGGCACTTGTCCAATATACAGACACATCAATATTTACTCTCTGCTTCCTATTTCTGCTGCATAATATCCCATTTCCTCAGAAATGTATTATGTTTATTCTTTACTCAAACGCAAGGAAGGTAAGTTCTCTTTTTTTTTTTTTTTTTTGCCTGAGTAGTTTTCTTATTAACCTAATATAGTGAAGTAATGATTTCTTTCATCATTCAAATCACACTGATGCACATTAGGGACGGACACTTTTACACATTTTAAAAGCATTATTGAACCACTTTCATAGCAGGGTTTGTTAATGTGAGTAAGTTCCTTGTTAAAAGTTTTTTCCCTGAAGTGTTTATATTATTTTGTCTACCCCCTTGGATTTGAAGTATTTTGAACAGACACTCCAGGGAAACTTCCAGACACAAACACCTTCTTCCTGCCACTTTTACTCCCCTTACAACTGAAAATCTTTTTTTTTTTTATTCTCTCATCTCAGAGGTAAAGCTTTCTATTTTCTTGCTTGATTAATTTTTTATTCCCCATAGACTTACTGATCTCTCTCTGGACCCTAGTCCCTCAGTGTTAAAACATCAGTGGGATAAACGATGTGTGCTGCTGCTTGTACTGATGGAGAGAGTTAGGAAGTAAGATGAAAAGCTTCATCTCTGGGATACAGAAGATGAAAGTGAAGCCGTGTTTTGAATGTGGGTTGCAGCATGTTGTTAGATCTCTCCGCGTCTTCTCATCCTTTTAGCTCACACCCAACTCGTATTAAAACTACGTCAAGGGCTAAAGCTTTACAATACAGCCCTCCTTTTTTTCCACTCTAATCAGCCGGATGTAATTCATTTTCATACGACTAGTTCTGCTGCTAATAGCAAGCTAACTATTTTCCTGACCTTGACATATGCAACTACATAATAAAATATAGCTACATATTCATTTGGTAAAGGAAACGTTTTGTAATATAAGTAATTTCAGCACGACAACTCATCTACCACATATTTTATGTAGCTAGTGTCTTATTACACTGTAATTATGGAAATGATTGAACTGTAATTGAAAAGCCGAATCAACATCATATCCTTCACATTAACAAAGCACATTAAAGTCTTTAAAAAGACAAGTGTTCCACTCAATTTTCAGTTATGTTTAACTTCCCCCGGGGGCCAAAAATGTTCTCACATGCATTATAGTCACAAAATCTCTGCAAACATTTCCCTACAGCTAAACAACCATGGAGTGTTAGCATGAATTCAAATTATAGTTTCAATAAAGCGGTGCTTTTTCATAAAATTGTCAAGCCTAATATGCCATTTTTTATTAGATTTTCTTCCAGATTAATTGCCCAAGTTTTACCTCAACATGGTATGACAGTTTAGATTGCCACTCTTGCATGTTGACAGTCCATTGCCTGCAGGAAAATTAAAACTCGCCACATTAAATATCCCGTTTCATTAAAACCTATATGGAATTTAGAATGGGTTAATAAATAAAGAAAACAACATTTTCCAATCACCACGAACATGTCACGGCCTTCATGTAGAAAAATGAACGGTTTGACGCCTCAAACTAACAAGGTCTCCACATTAAAAAGCCAGTGTGCCAAGATTACTCAGAAAAAAAAAATAAAATTAAAGAGGTGGCTAAAGCCCCCTAAAGGACTGAAATTGCATTTCTTGCTGTCACCTTCAATCTGTCACCTAATCAGTCCTTCTGCCTTCTCCACCTCCTCCTCTTCCTCCTCTTCCTCCTCTTCCTCTCCCCTCCTTCAGACATTAGGGAGAGTGGAAGCCCTAAGCCGGTGATGGTTTTCATCCACGGGGGCTCCTACATGGAAGGAACTGGAAATATGTTTGATGGCAGCATCCTGGCCAGCTATGGGAATGTGATTGTCATAACTGTTAACTACCGGCTGGGCGTCCTAGGTAAGGATCCTACTGTAAAATGTAATACACAACCACTGTTCCGCTGTTGGTGTCTGCTCTTTCTTCATTGCTTTCTGGGGAATTCCATTAGCCGGGCTTGAAGGCGAAAAGTAGGCATTGAATTTTTCAACTTCTCTCTCGCTTTGTATCAATCTCTTCTGGTGTTGCTGCTGGTTTCATTCCAGAGTTTAGCTTAGTCTGAGTGCTAACACTAGAATTATTTTCTAACTTCTTTTTTTTTTGTCTTATTGTTCTCACTTTCTTCTTCTCTTCATTCATTGTGTCTTTTCTTGCTGGTTCCATGAGATGATGCAGGAGATATTCCAGAGAGCTTAGTTTAGCATAATTGCTAAAACTAGTGATTTCCTTTTTCTTTCTTTCTTTCTTTCTTTCTTTCTTTCTTTCTTTCTTTCTATTGCTCTGCTCTTCCTCCAGTTGTAATGACTGCATGGTCGTAGATAACAAGTCTGTTGGTTCTTTAATAGGAACCTGAGCTCCTCACTTGGTTTCATTGGTCTTTGCCCTTGTTGGTTCAAACTGGCATCTGCAGCCGATGTCTGCTCTCGCTGCTTCGTTGATCACGATTCAAACATTTATAGTCAAAGGCTGGATTTGAATCTTAAAGGTTTTCGGTTGTGATTTTTTTTTTTTTTACCCATCCTATTTTCTCATAGAGTAATATTAGGAAAGTAGACTCTTCATTTCCTGTCAGGCAGATCTGGCTGTTCATTACAGGTTGGATGATACCAACGGGTGTTGTTTAAAATATTGTGGGCATAATGCTACCAGCTCTTGTGTCTTAGAAAGGAAAGGAATAAGAAGAAAGGAATAAACATCATCCAACAAGCATCTGTCAGATTTAAAGGACAATTCCAGACACGCACAATTTGTACAGTATGACGTACTTACACTGATGTTGTGATTTGTGACTTTATATCCATTATCAACATTGAAACGTTTGCTGGGCCAGGTCGAGGCGGCCTGGTTACCACTACTCCTTTGCATCTACCCTTCCTCACTGCTTTCTTACATGTAGTAGCCTTTAATCTGTCATGGTGATGTCTTCTCTAATCTTCTGTCCCTTCTTTTTTTCATTCCTATCTCTATTTTTTCTTTCCCTTCTATCTTATCTCTTCTCATTACTCTGATTCCTAATTCCTTTTCCCCTGTGTATGGATGTCACTGCCTTACCCAGAGGGCAGGTATATACTGTGACACATGACGGAAACAAAGCTTCGCTGCCTCATTCCTAAATGACATTATGCTCTCATTTGTTTGAATGGAAGGAACCAATTTCATATCCATGTTGTTTTGGTTGCTGGGGTTTTTCTTCCTTTATTATTAAACCACACCAGGATAAAGATATGGGGCAATTTCCGCCTTTCACTCAACTAAAATACCATTTGTCTGGGGGCATGTGTGTGCGTCCGTGTATCCGTGTGTGCATATAAAGAATGAGCATAAAAGACTTAAACGCGATTCTATGAGATGTTGATAGCAGAAACAGAATGTGAATCACGATGTTAATGTTCTCTGCAGGTGGTCTGCATTGTCTCTCTATTCTTTCATCTGTTATTCAGGCACTGATCTGTTTTACGTGATTTATATATATTTGTTTGCATTGCAAATACTGAGTATCCGTGAAACGCCTTGTTCGTTTACTTGCATATAATCTGCAAGACTTTGATATTAAGCTTTGAGCGTCCTTTTGAAAAAAAAAATTACAGCGTTCCGTAGAGGGCAAAAATGTGTCCAATAACCATAAAAATGTTATATATTGATATTGTTTTCCACTTTCACTGAATACATTTTTATCACTTTGGTTAGTTTTGGTAATTTTTTTTTTCATTTACTAAAATGTTGAGTGAAATTTTCAGTATAATAATCACGAGAACCACAGCTCATACGGACGTACCATACATTTGCATGGCGCATGTAGACAAACAAGTGCACCTTACACACACACACACACACACACACACACACACACACACACTGATATACATATAATAATAATAATAATAATAGTATATTTATTCCAATGGCCTATACAGTGCTCCATAATAGAACAGCAATGCCCCTAGAGGACACCCAAAATAGCATGCATTTCCTTCATAAGCTTAATATGGCTTCATGTGGTGGAAAATAGTAACAAGTACAAATTTGGAGCCTCATAAAATGAAATGCTTGATTCTATGCTGTAATGATGAGGCAGGATAGAAAATTGCAGTTTCAAAAAAGGGCATCATTGGAGTTATTTTTTGTCCTTAAGGTCCAGAGTGTATATTTACAAAAATGTACTTAAGAATGCAGAAGGGTGAAGTCTGGTAATAGAAACTTAAACTATGTAGACGTTTTACAGCTGCAGATGCCTGCTGAGCCATTGTGGTTCATGTCTCTTAGAAATATAAGTGCCTGTTAGTCTGTGACTGAACCCCTCCACCCCCCCATTAGCAACCTTCAATCCCTGCCAAAACCACAAAATTTGATATTAAAGAAAGCCCTCCATCATCTGTACTTACCAATCATTCATTCCCTTTCAATACCCACTTATTCCTTTTTCAGGGTCATGATGGGGCTGGAGGTCATCCCAGTGTGCAGAACAGAAGCGCTGTATTGAGATGGGGACCCGATAGAGGCTGTGCAGACACTGATATACACACTCACAGTTACAGACTTTTCTCAAAGTTCAAAACTTGCAGGTGCTCGTGGCTGAGATTCAAATCCTGGCTCTTTCTCCTGTGATGCAACTGTAATACCCAGTTTACACAACACGATATTGTCTATAGCTAAATGATAATTTCAGCAGCCTTAAAGAGTGACGCGAGCGTTAGATGATTGACAGAAAATGAATCAACACCAATTTAAAAATGAATCATTTTAATTAACCAAAAATGCCACATTTGTTGGTTCCAGCTTCTGTCAGATTTTGCCTACTATCTTTTCATGTTTTATAGCCTAATTAATTGATTAACAAAGTGAAAAATATATTAATAGCAGCTCTATGACCATGCCAAAGTTATGAAAGTTATAATTCTCTTTTCTTTTTTGGGTGGGGTGGGGTGGCTGCTGTTAAGTGCTGAAATGTCAGTATCAATACTTTTTAGTTTGAAATATTTTGAGCTTAGTGTTTACCAATTCTATCTATCCATTATGCATTAGAGATGTCACAAAATGCAAAAGAGGAGGAAAGGAAAGTAGAAGATAAACAATACAAAGCGCAGGAACAATCAGTCAGTCACATTTCATA